CGGGCGCGCTGCCCGCCCCTCCCGGTGCCGTTTGCCCCTCAGCCGCAGCGGGGCCGTGCATGGCTGCGGGAAATGGAGGCGAGGCGGCGGCCAGGGAAGGTTCTGGAAGGTGCGGGGCTCCCGGCGCTGTGAAGGGCTCCTTTGAGAGCCCCGGCCGGTGAAGGCCCGCGGCCGGGCCGGCGCTGCAGAGCCCCGCAGAGCGCACAGTGGGGCTGCTGAGGGCGAGCAGGCACGGACCCGCGTTCGGTGCCCGGGAGGAGATGGAGGGAATGCCGGCTCCAGTGCCCCCGCCTTTCCTGAGCGGAGATTCCGGGCTGTTCCCTGCAGTTCGGAGAGGTTTAGCCTGGCCGTGAGTGGATTGTTCACTAACACCTCTGACCCCGGCTGGCATTTTGCTGGTGTTTCTGAGCCTTGAGGAGTAAATGGCTGAGGCTCAGGCAGGTTGTGCACTCGATCAGTGGGGTTTGCATGTACAGGAATTGCTCTGGTGTTGTCCAAAGCTGGTCACCGTTTTCCACGTGTTCTGTAGTAACCGTTCTGGAGTTACACAATCATTCAGCCTCTCCAAGCCTTGCAGAATTTCAGGGCCAAGGGGTTTTCCTTCTCATTCCATGTATCTCACTGCCTAAATCCGAGTGAGAGCACAGCTCTGTGTGGTGGTGGGACATACTAGGAGGTGACTGCTCATTTCTTAAAACATCAAGACAACCCCCAGAGAGAGGTGGCGCAGGGAGATTTGTAGCCACCAAGGTGTAAATACAGCAGGAAAAACTAATCTCCTGAATGATTACGTTAGTCAGAAAGAGCCAGGCATGTTTAGAAACCTTGCAGTCTGGTGTTTGGAGGGAAAAGGGTTGGGCCTGGCCCGGCAGGGCTTTCGGGAAGGTTTGTAAGTTCTCTAGAGCAGGGCAGTGTTTAGGGAGGCAAAGTTCACGTGCTCACCACTCCTTCTGGTGAGCTGTAACTCCGTGTGTTGTCTCCAGGGCTCCTGAACCTTGTTGTTCTACACGTACCTGACAAACACAGCGAGTGGCAGTGGGAACAAACGGAGACAAAGCACTGGGTAATAAACCCTGAGCAGCTGGACTTTGGATGAGCTGCTCTGGTGACCGGGAGCTTTGCAGGGAAACCCATTTCCTTGTTTACACGGGTGTGCTTGTAGCTGCCTCCCTAGCAGACATGTCCAAGGAGGCTCCTGAAGGGTGGCTGCAGAAATGTGGGTGTCCCTCTGGCCCATCTGCCTCCTCTGGGCTGCAGCTCTGTGGATTTTTCTTCCTGGGGTTCAAAGGATCCCTCATCTTTTCCTGGATGGAAGGCAGTGCAGGAGCTGAGGTCTCCTCACCACCCCTGGGGCTCTGCAGGCTTCTGTTGGCAGGAGCCCTGGCCCAGTTTCACCCTGGTCCTTCCTGGTTTGACCACTCTCCCCCCCACACCATGATGGCACTCAGGGTCTCGGGTCCCTTGAACCTTGTGAAAGTATTTTCACCCCTTTCTCACAGAGCGCCTCTCATCTTTGTGGCTTTCCTCCCTCATGGTGCAAGCAGACTCCTGGGGCTGGCAGCACCAAAATGGGCTCAAACACATCTCGGGAAACCCAGAGAATACCAGTGCAAAACCCACTGGGGTGGCACCGCCGGGGTTTGTGGGGCTGTTGCTGCTCCTCCAGCCCTGGGGACCCACCTGAGGAGCTGTGGGACCCTGGCGTGGGCTGGCAGGGCAGCCCTGCTCCCTCCCTGAGCCATCCCGTCTCCTCCCCGGTGCTGCTGGCCGTGCCCTCGGTGGATGGAGGGGCCATGGTGCAATATCCTGCCTTTGTGTGTGCCAGCACCGCGGGGCCGGCGGGGTGGAGGAGCTGCTGCCCCTCGGCTCCGCTCGCTCTGGGATGTGGCGGACGGGCTGAGCATGGGATGAGCACCTCTCATCTGTGAGATGGTGCTGAGGAAGGTAAATAGCAAGATTAGAACCCTGGAGTTAAGAGTTCAGTAACACTAAACATCAGTGGCTAAACTGATGAGATGCTGATTAGGCAGACTAAAGTAGCTGGAAAACAAATTTGACTGCTGGACCTAAAGGCTCAGGGTCAGTGTGAAATCCAGCTGATCACCAGTTGCTGGAAGTTCCATAGAGCTCCGCACTGGAAAGGACTGGAGCCAGGACTTAGCTCCTTTGTAACACCCTGATTACAGTTCTGTTGCATGCAATCTCAGTAAGTTTGCTCGGTGTTGCTCTTTTGGAGGGAAGTGGTTGAGTTGCCGGAGTGCAAGGCTGCTCTTCAGAGTGCTCTCAACAGGCTAAAGAAATGGGCTTGGAGGAGGCTCCTATTGCCGCTGTCTGTCACACACGTCTCACCGAGCAGGGACAGATTCTCCAGCGAAATGCCCTGCCCTCCCAGATGGCAACAACCCCCCCGGGGCCCGGCGGCTTCCTCCGGGCGCCTGTGGGGGTTTTGCACGAACAAAAGAACTCCTGCTGCAGCTTCCCGGGCAGAGCCAGCACCCCGCGGCTCTGGGACCTGGCTGTCCCCTGCTTAACCCGCATGGCACCGGGCTCTGGTGCTCAGGGAATGTGGGTTTGCAGCGAGGTCATCTTTAAGGTCCCTCCCAACCCAAACCATTCTAGGATCTCATGATTGTTCCCAAAAAAAGCTTGGGGAACAGCTCTGGGGCAGATGCCTCTTTGAGCTGGAGAAAGACAGGATGCTGTCAGTGCTCAGGTTGTGTGAGGAAAGGGAGAGGGACTCTCATCTTCTGTCTGTATGCAAATTCCCCTCCTCACCTGCTTCATGGTGCAAACACTACTGTGTTTGCCCCCAGGCTGTGGCCAGCTGGCCACCAGCTCTCAGGGCAGCACAGGGAGATGGACCCACTGATCCTTGCTGTGCCCAGTCTGCTCCAGCACTGACCCCAAATTAGCTGCTGGCCTGCAGAGTGAGCCTCAGGGGCTGTGGATTCACCCTGCTCAGTCTGGGGCTGCTGGTGGCACACGAGCTGTCCACATCATCCCACTGCTGCCAGGGCACAGCCCAGAGCTTGTTCCTGTGGCTGTGCAGGCAGGGAGCCCTGGGCACACTCTGGGCCAGCGCACGAGTCACTGTGATGGTCAGCAGAGTCCATCCCTGTCCCTGGGATGGTCAGTGGGCTCCATCCCTGTCCCTGGGATGGTCAGTGGGCTCCATCCCTGTCCCTGGGATGGTCAGCAGAGTCCATCCCTGTCCCAGTGATGGTCAGCAGAGTCCATCCCTGTCCCTGTGAGGGTCAGCAGAGTCCATCCCTGTCCCTGGGATGGTCAGTGGGCTCCATTGCTGTCCCTGTGATGGTCAGCAGAGTCCATCCCTGTCCCAGTGATGGTCAGCAGAGTCCATCCCTGTCCCTGGGATGGTCAGCGGGCTCCATCCCTGTCCCTGTGATGGTCAGCACAGTCCATCCCTGTCCCTGTGATGGTCAGTGGGCTCCATCCCTCCCTGTCCATGGTATGAGAAATCCTTGCATGGAGAGGCTGCTTGGGCAAGAGGCACTGGCCCTCCAGATGCCAGGGGGATCCTGGGGGACACAGGCACAGCTACTGCCGAGGCACAGCCCCTGTGCCAGGTGCAGGGTACCCAGTTCTTGTGCTTGGCCAGCAGGACGTGTTGCTCGTTCCCTGCTTTTTCCCTGTCCTCCTTCCCAGCCCTGCTGCACAATGGGATGCAGAAGAGCGAGCTCTGCTCCTGTCCTCACCCCCAGCGTGTGTTCCCGCCATCCCGTGCCTCTTCCAGCCCCTGTGGCTGTGTTTGTGTGGCCACAACAGCTGCAAGGGTAATGACTGTCCGGAAGCACGTTTCGCCTTGGGATTGTTTGCTTGTTCCTGCTGGGCGTGTTTTAGTTTGTGTTTACAGCCAGCAAATTCCACCCACTGCCTGCTCGCTTGCTATCACCAAGTCCTCCTGTGCTGGCAGGCTTTGCTCCCTGCTCCATCCCATCTCCCTAAATCCCAGCCCTCTTCCCTGCTCCCAAGGCCAATCTAAGGGATTTCACATGTGCCACCTCAGCTCCTTCATGTCTCCCAGTGATTCCACTGCTGGGAATTTGGGTCCCCAGTTCCTTTGCAGCATGGTGTGCAGGGAGGTACTTCCCATCATAGGGAGCAGCTTTTCTGTGTTCTCGCTGCCAGAGGGGACAGGTGCTGCTCAATCTTGGGACATTGGTGGCTTTTTCGTGCCTCTACCTCCACGCCATCCTCCTGACTGTTCTGTCCCACATGTGAGGCAGCCCGTGGCCATTCCCTGTCCTCACATCCAGACCTCGGGCATCTCCATTTCCTTTCATGTGTGGATTACCTGTGAGGGGAGGAACCCAGAGAGGAGAGGCTTCCCCATGGGAGGCAGATCACCTCCTTTCCTGCTGGCTTTGAGCCTCAGCCAGTAGCAGGTCCCACCTCTGGGAAGTGCCCTGGGTAATTCTCCCTGGGCATCCTGTGCAGGCTGTGTCTCTCTGGGCATCTCCCCTGTGCAGAGCATGACCTTGGGCATTCTCCCTCTGCTTTCCTGTGCAAGGTGTGTCCCTGGCATCCATCCTCCCTGTGCATCCCTGTACAGGATGTGTCCTGGAGCCTCCTCCTTGTGCATCCCTGTACAGGATGTGTCCTGGAGCCTCCTCCTTGTGCATCCCTGTACAGGATGTGTCCCCGAGCATCCTCCTTGTGCATCCCTGTACAGGATGTGTCCTCGAGCATCCCTGCGTGAGCTCCCAAGGCCTTCTCCATCTGAGGTGTGCCCCGGTGATCTCCACGTCCGGGTCCCTCCCATGCAGAGTGCGCCATGCTCATCCCTGAGCCCACTCCTGTTCCCACCCTCGTTCCTTTCCCATTCCCAGCCCCATTCCCATCGCCATCCCCGTTCCCGCCGCAGCGCCTTCTGCCGGCGGAGCTAATCCCCCCGCTGCCCGGCCTTTGGTAGATGCCGCCGCCTCCCCGCCCCACCGTTGGTAGGCGCCGCCGCGGTGGCTGCCGGGAGCTGTAGTCCCGGGGCGGGAGGACTGGCAGTCCCGGCGTGCCCCGCGCCGCCGCCGTGGGTGCGGGTCCCGGTGCCGGTGCCGCCGCTGCCGCTCTGCGCCCCCGGCCCGCCCGCCCTGTCCGCGGCCGCCATGGGCTCCCTGCTCAGCCGGCGCATCGCGGGCGTGGAGGACATCGACATCCAGGCCAACTCGGCCTACCGCTACCCGCCCAAGTCCGGTGAGGGCCGCGGGGACCGGGGAGGGGGCCAGGCCGTGCCGGGCCCGGTGCTCCGGGGCCGGGCGGGGAGGGGGCAGCGGGAGCGCTGTCACCGGCCTGGGCTGTCACCGGCTCCGGCTCTGCCCGGCCGCGCTGGCGGAGAGGCCGTGGATGGGTGTCCGCGGGCACAGCGGCTGCGCCGGGCCGGGCTGCCCGGGGCTCGGTGCCCGCATCCCGGGCTCGGTGCCCGCATCCCGGGCTCGATGCCCGCATCCAGGGCTCGGCTGTCCCGCCGTCCCCGCCCGGGGCCCGGGTCCTGCGGCGCTCGGGGCCGCTCCCCGCGGTGGAAGTGCGGCCCCAGCGAGTGCGGCGGGGCTCGGTGGGGCCGGGAGCGGAATTGGCTCTGGTTGAATCCAGGATGGCCAAATTCCCGCATGACAACCCCGTTTAACTCCTTAAAATGGCAGTGGCTCTCACCTAGGAGCTGTTGGGCTGACACAGCCTGCTGGCTGGCTGTTTTCCACAGGGAATTGTTCTGAAGGCTTGGAGAGTTGTCAGTGCCCCTGTGTGCAGTTGGGATGAGCCCATGACTCACCTTGTCTTGGGCTGGCTTTGAGATTGACCAGGTTTAACTTGTTTAAAGTGTTTTATTTATTCTTCTCAGAAAAGAAGTGGTCAGGGGAACTCAGGTACTCTTTCCCCCTGCAATATCCATTTGCTTACAATTTTTTCCAGGTTTTGGTTCTGTCAGGGCTTTTCCAGGCAGGCTGAAGAATTTGCAGAGCAGCAGTTTGGGTCTCCTCACTCTCAGATACAAAGACTTTTCATTCAGAGATTTAAGTCCTGTGTGTGTCCGTGACCTGCTGCTGTGACAGCCTCAGAGGAGCCAGGACCCCTGTTTGGGTTGGAGGGGGTGCAGGATTATCTCAGATAGAGTCCTGTCACTGTCACACCTTGTCTTGTTGCAGGTTGGCCTTCAGCAGGAATGGTGGTGTGGAGGAAGTGGAAGGGGGAAACCTGCCTAGAAAAGTCCAAAAGCTGTGTTGGCTCTCTTAGAAAAGATAACTGCTATTTTTTAGGGGAAAGGCAAATGTCCCAGTGTGGCTGCAGCTGGAAACTGGAAGTTGGTGGTGTGTTGGGTTTGGGGCTTGCCAAGGTAACCCCATCACACTCCTGAGGTTGGGTTTGTGTGGTGCCATGCTCCCTGAAGGGGATCTGTGCACCCTAATGCTACCAAAGAGTGTTCCATGTGTGACACCTCCCTTGTGGAACTGAGCAGCCAATGCTTTCAAGCAGCTGGTTAAATGAAAATATTTGTGTTTCCTACAAAGGCTCTGGATGCAATTAAAGGCTTGCTAATTAATTTTCTGTGTCATTTTCTTGTGCTCTTTCTGAAAGCTGGTGTTAAGCCAGCTTTCTCTTTACATTCTTTGGGTTTATCTGACAAGGATCCTCTTGACTTTGGGGAGAGAGAAGAGCTGTTCAAGATCCAGGCAGAAGAAGAGGGGGTGAGGTGGAGGCTCAGAGCCCAGAGCAGTGAGGGCTGTTGGATGGCAGCTCCCCTCCCTCCTGCAGCGTGCTCAGAGGGACAGTGTCCTCTGAGGCCCTGCCATCTCCACAGTGATTGTCTTGGAGAGGGGAAGGTTGGTACCAAACCTGGCAGTGGGGATGACTGGAAGTGAGTGAGTACAGTTTTGATTCCAGGAAGCAAGCTGGAAGTAGTACAAAATGTTCTTGGCTAAATGTTTGCTAGTTATTTCTCACTGGACACTGCTGCTGTGAGCCCTGTCTGGAAGAAGCTGGTTTTCCATGGGCTGTGTTGGGTGTGTGTGCTGGAGAGTGAGCCTGACACACACTCCTGGCTCTGAGATTACCCTGATAGGCTGAACAAGTGGTGAGGGAAATACCTGAGCTCACCCATCCTGTGTGCAGCACTGTCCTTCTCCTTCTCCATCCTAGCCCTCCTTGTCTCTGATTTCAGCAGACCTTGAAGTGTCTGCTCAGCTGCTGTCCATGGCATCAGTTGGAAGGATGAGGGTTTGTGTTTGATGAGGGAGCAGATGCCCCCTCCCAAGGACACACTGTGCAAGGACATCAACCCTAAATGCAGGTGTCTGGCTGTGATTTCAGCTGCATGTCAGCCTGCCTGTGGACAGGGACGGTGACTGAGCCTTGTTGAGTCACAGCTGGTTGCAAAGAAGAGGTGAATATTCACTTCTGCTTTATTGCCTTTTGATGTGGTTGTTGCTGGGTCAGTCACCTGCCCTGGGGAGGTTGGAGCAGATTGCTGTGGAATTCTCCTTGGTCTCCATGAGCCAGGCCTCAGTGAAGCAGGTTGTTTCACAGCTTTGTTGGAAATTGTGTGCAGTTTTGTAGTTAAAAATCCTCTGAAAATGCCCTGCTTCTTCCTCCAAGGCTCTGGGTGGGATCATCTACATTTTTCCTTCTACATCTGGGTGACTGAGGCTGCTGTAAGGTGATACCCAATTTCCTTGTCTGACCCCTCTTTGCTGGTACTTTTTAACCAAAATTTCTTGCTTTATGGAGCCCGTGCTGGCATTGTGCCTGCCTGATGGGTTGGGAGGAAGGCCTGGTTTGTACAGAAGAGTAAGTGCCTCTGTGAAACAGGCTAAAAATGGGTATTTTTTTCCCTGTTTAGCAGGGAACAGTTGTGATCTCTGTGGTGCTTCAGTGCTTGGAGCAGTGAAAGGATCTGCCATGGCGCTGTTGCTTTGGAGCAGTGAGCAATGCCCCAGTGCTTCCCACAGCTCTGCTCCTGTTCCATGAGCCCTTGGGATGGCTCTCCTCTGGAGCAGGCTCTTGGAAGAGGATTCCCTGGAGATTCCTGGCAGGAAAAAAGGAAGTGGATTGCTCCTCTCTGAAGCTGAACTGCTTTGTTGTTTGGGAATGAGGCTTTAATCAAAGAAAGAGTGGTTTTAAATAGGAGAAGAGTATCCAGAGTCACACCCAGTGCATCCCTGTGCTGCTGTGTGCCATGACAGTGTCACTGTCCCTGTGTGCTGGCTCGGGCTGTGCCTGGGACTGTGCTGTCAGTCTGCCATGGTGGTGACTGTCTGGCCGAGTAATTAAACACAACCCAATTTCTATCACTTCACTGTTAATTGTATTAATGGTGAGAAGCCTAAATGGGCACCTAAATGTTAATGAATGTTGTATGGCACAGCCATGCTGTGATGGGATTACAGTTATGTCCCTTCCCAGCTCATCTCCTGTGCATCACATCCATGTGTTGCATGGATATGGGATTAGGATGCTGGCTTGGGGAGAGCTAATTATGACTGGGCAATCTGGTGCAATTATGATAATAAACCCCCATCACTATGTTGGACTAGATATAAAGTATTTTGGTGTCATTTGGTGCCTTGGAGGAGCCTTGGGTTCCAGTTTGGTTTTGCATGGGCCAAACGAGTGAGTCAGCCTTGGCTGTTCTGTGTCCCAGTGGTCCCAGTTTTTCCAGCCACTGTAAAGTTTTCCACCACAACAATTTCTCTTACAACCACTGCCTGGGCTTCATCTACCTCGCTTGGTCATGTTCTCTTTTATCTCATGCTGCTCTGTGCTTTGTGCTGATTTACTCTGGGGAAGTAAAGCCACAGTTTCTTTGTTCTGGCATTTTTATCCTATTCCATCCTTTTTTATTTATGTGTGATTCTTTTCTGGTCAGTGTGTCACTGCATTTTCCTGCAGGGTTTCTGTTTGTAGCAGAGGATCTGTGGAGGATCAATTCAAGGATTTTTTGCTTTTCCTTTTTCCTGCCAAAGGGGATGGCACTTAGCATTCTCCTTGTGCCCATAGCTACAGAGCTGTGTGTAAAGCTGGCCTTGGAACACCTGCTCAAGGTGGTTTTATAGCCTGGGGGAACATACAGGAACAAGGTAGCCTGGCCAAAGTTCTACAGCTGTCTTTGTACTGGATTTTCTAATGCATAGAAAATGTATGCAGGCCTGTTAGAACCACTAAAAATCCTAAATGTCACAGTGACTGCAAAAGAGGATGCCTCATATTTTCCATCTGGAAGTTTCCTTTTCATTTTAGTCCTTAGTATGATATTTAAGAAATGCTTTCTTCAAATGCTCTGCCTCCAACTTGGGCAGACTCCGAGGTGGTTGTGACAGTGGTTGGGAGGATTCCTGCACAACTTTGGTTTTACCTTGAGAGCTCTGAACTTGGGGTGTCATTGTAGCAAGTGCTTTCCGAAAGCTTGCAACAGAATATCTTTTTCTAGCTGCTGAAAACTGTGTTATAAATTTGTGGAGACAGTGTGCTGCCATTCTGGTTTGTTTGTCTGTGGAGACCTCGTGTGCGTGGCAGCAGTGGCAGAGCCTGGGGTTGTTCTGATCACCACTGTGTTCCCTCTGAGCACCCCGCAGTGGTTCTCCCTGTGCTCCTTGTGCCTGGCACTGTGGTTCTTGTTTGCTTGTGAAGGAAGTGCCTCGGGGGAAAAAACCTCTCCTTCACGTTGCAGGAGGTGACTTAGCAAGGAGATGAAGAGAGTTCAGTCTGAAAGTGGAACTGAAGCTGTGATTCCAGCTACTGTATTTGTGAGAAATCCCAACAATTTGGTAGAGATGTCAAAAGTAGTTCTTAGTGGAGCAGTGACAGTGTGGCAGGTGCCTTGAACGTGCTGGTTTTGTGTCTGAGTGTTGTTCCAGTGGAGCAAGAGAGACCTTTTCAGCTCTGGAGATGCTCTCAGACCATATCCTGGGCTGATCCCACAGCGTGGGCAGCAGGAGTGGGGGGATTCTGTCCCTCTGCTCAGGTGAGACCCCAGCTGCAGAGCTGCCTCCAGCACAGAAGGGATGTGGAGCTGCTGGAGGGAGTCCAGAGGAGGCACCAGCATGATCCCAGGGATGGAGCAGCTCTGCTGGGAGGAAAGGTTTGGGGTGACCTCACTGTGGCCTTGCAGTGTCTGGAGGGAGCTTAGAGAAAAGATGGGGCAAGATTATCTGCAAGGGTTTGGAGTGGCAGGACAAGGGGGAATGGCTTCAAACTGACAGAAAGTAGGGTTAGATTGGATATGAGAAAGAAATCCTTCCCTGCAAGGGTGAAGAGGCCCTGGCACAGGTTTGCCCAGAGAAGCTGTGGCTTTGGCATTCCTGGAAGTGTCCAAGGCCAGGCTGGACAGAGCTTGGAGCAGCCTGGTGTCATGGAAGGTGTCCATGGCAAGGAGTTGGAGCTGTGTGATCTTTAACATCCCTTCCAGCCCAGACAATTCTGTGATTCTGGTGTCCAAGGCCAGGCTGGACAGAGCTTGGAGCAGCCTGGTGTCATGGAAGGTGTCCATGGCAAGGAGTTGGAGCTGTGTGATCTTTAAGGTCCCTTCCAGCCCAGACAATTCTATGATTCTATAATTCTGTCTCACTCACTGGATAGGAGGGAGTTCTCTGACTCTGATCCCAGATAACCAGCTGCTGTGGTACTGAGACATCCTGCACAAGCATTGTCTTCTCAGCTGATCAAATAAAATGTTGCAAAACATACTCCTGCTTGACCCACATAAAATGTGGAATCTGCTCCTGAACTCCAGCCTTCAGTGTGGTTTTCTGAACCTCAGTGCATACACATACCACCGTGGTGGATCTCTGGTGGAGAGGCACTGTCAGCCTGGCTGTGCTTGGAGATTATATACAGATTAGTTTTTTAATTTGTTGCTTCTGGGAGGAGTGGGAAAAGATTCCCTGTCATTTGGGGCACTTACATTTGTGTCCAGGAAATGACTGGATGGCACTCAGTGCTGATCTGGTTGACAAGGTGATGATAGGTCACAGGTTGGACTAGATGGTCTTGGAGGGCTTTTCCAACCTAAATGATTCTGTGATTTTGTTATTCTGATTCTGTAGGACAGATTCTGAGTAGCTGCTGGACCTGTGCTGAAGGTGATTGTTGTATCTGGAAAGAAGGACGTGTTTCAGTCCTACAAACATCTGGGTGCTTGTTAGCTGAGCTCAGCAATAGCTGAGCCCTCCCGTCATCATTAAGGCACTGCCATCTGTGCAGAGTGAAAAGAGCCTTTCTTGAAGCATAAAGGGAGAAAGCCTTAATGGAAAAAACAGGGCCATTCATGAAAACCCTTCCATTTCAGAGTAAATCCTGCTTGCTCCTAGCTAGTGGGACTGCAGATCTCTCCAGAATGTCTCCATAGCCATTCAGATGATTAGTTACTGCTTCTGGAATGCCTCATTTTAACACAAATTTATGCTGTCTATGCATTGCACCCAGGGAAGCAAATGTACAATTGGCTCAGTCCTCTCATCCCCCACTCTGAAACTTGAAGGGAAGTGACTTGGATGGAGCCTTTCATTTCAGTTCTCTCCTGATACTTATTTCTCTGAAAGTGTACCTCTGGGAAGTTCACATTTGAGAGTGTTTTCCTGAAGTCTTTCTAGGAGGGAGCTGCATTTGTGGTGCTTTCACACACCTGAATTAATTCTGTTCATTTTACAGTCAATTCCATGCTCCAGAATCCCAGTGACCTTGCACATGCCTTGTATCCTGCAATTTTCACTGTAGTATAGTGCATCATCTTAAAAATGAATGAAACAAATTCATGGTGAAACTTTCAGAGCTGACTTTCACTTTAGTCAGTCCCTGTTTTCTCTCCCAGACATCCATGTTTCTGCATTTAGAACAGCCAGCAATATTAATTAAATCAGCATCAGGGTGTGCAGTCTCCAGCACTCCCAGTAAAGGTTTGGAGTAGTTCTTGTGTGGGATATGGGAGTGAAAGACAAACTTTGCCTAACAGGAGACCCTCAGGCAGTGCTGAACTTTGCAGTGGGAGGAAGCTCATCCCTCTCTGAGCAGGCCATGGTGTTTGTGGGACTGGGCTTCACATTGGGAAGTGAAGAAAACAGGAAGAATTGGCCAGAATGGAGCAACATTGGAAAGAGCTGACTTTTCCTGCTTCCTGTCCCTTCTCTGGAAAACAAGTTGAAATGGAATTATCTCCACTGTAATTTTTATTCTAGGTTTTTGTTTTGTTTGGTTGGTTTTTTTTCCTCTTTTCTCCTACTGTTGGCAGTGGACCTCAGTACTACAGGGAAGGGGTGAATAAGCAAGTATTTTCTGTGTCTTGTGGCTCTTTTGTACTTGTGAATTTAAAACTGCACAGATTTTCCAGGAAGCACTCATTTAGAGGATTTTTTTTTTCATTCTCTTGTATTTTGTGTTTCTAGGAAACTACTTTGCAAGTCACTTCTTTATGGGAGGTGAGAAGTTTGACACCCCTCATCCCGAGGGTTACCTTTTTGGTGAGAACATGGACTTAAACTTCCTTGGAAATAGACCAGTTCAGGCAAGTTCCTATGTTCTGTCTGTTTTACTCTTTTTTATTTCCTGCCTGTTTTGGAAAATCTTGTGTAGGGTTTGTAGAGGAGAGTGGCACAGACCTGAGAGGTCCTCACTGCTTGGGGAACAACGCCATTCCAGTCTGTTCAGATGGATTCACTGAGTTCTCCTGAGAAGCTGAATTCACCGTGGAAGTTTATTTTCACTCAGGACAGAAAGAATTAGTGGTGGGGGAGGGAGAACAGGGACTGAGCAGCACAGAGTTTGGGACTAATTCTGCTTGCCTGCCCGAGCAAGTGTGAAACATGCTGCAGAGAAGGCTGGGAAGCAGAGCCTGAACTTCCCAAGGCTCCTGGGCAGGTTGGGTGTTCAACACAAGCTCTTTTCTGAGTGGCCTGACTGGTGTGGGGCAGTGTTAAGACAGACCCTGATGTTTTGTGGGTTTATACCTAGATGGGCTGCTCAGAAAATCCCTCCTTCTTTTTTCCTAGCTGGAACATAAATGTAATTTTGGGCCCACAGATGTCTGCAAGACTGTGAAAAGCTACTTGCTCAAGTGATTGGCTTGTTCTTGAAAAGGGAATAATGTTGTTTTGAGGGAAAGACAGGAATTTTATGCAAAGTGTAATGTTTTGGATTTCTCTTGCATCTCAGAACTGCTTAAAAAGAACGAAAAGGTTACAGAGGAGCCATTGGAGATGTTTTCTGAGTGCTGGAGAGGGAAGGGAAGAGCTGCTTGCTTTGTTCACTATATTCTTAGTTATTTCTGTAGCTTCCAAACATGAAAATGAGAACTAGAAGTCATGGTTCTAGTTTAATTAGTTATTTAATTTAATTACTTACGTGTCTCCTCAGAAAAGCTGTGACCATTAATTAATTCATGTTTGTAGTGCTTGGTGGTAGTTTGGAATCACCACTGCTTTTACAGGTGAGGGAAACTGAGGCAAGTTGGAATTGGAGCAGTTACAAACATGTTCTGCTTTCTGAGTTTCTCCTCAGGCTGTGCCATTGGTCACTTTAGAGCCACGCTCAGTTCACAGGATGGACAAGGAGGAATCTGGAAAGTCTTTGTTTAAGCAGGAAGTGCAGCTGGGCAACAGAATTAGCAAGGAGGGACTGGAGCTGGAGCTCTGTGGTTGCAGCAGTGCTGGGCAGGCCTGGGGGTGCTCAGCACATCCCCTGTGCCACGTCTGCTCACAGGGCCCTCCCTGCAGGGGCTGACCTGGCAGAGTGACATTACCTGCATGTCTCAGCCTGGGTTTCCTTGCTGACATCCCAGCACTGGGTTTCATCATTTCTCCAGAGGGGAGTGAGTGGGTGAGAGGCCATTAACACCGTGGGACATTGGCCAAGTAGGTTGAAGAGAAGGAGGCTGTTGTGGAATATAGTTTGCCTATGTAAAGTTAAAGCCCTTTGGCAGCTCTGATTAATCTTCAAGGAAAAAGAAAAAAAAAAAACACTCAAGCACTGAGCAGCAGCACTGTTTTCTGGACATGGGCCCAGTTCTTGCTTTGGAGTAAGTGAGGCCTTGCCTCATTTCTGAGGAAATGTGTTGGTGGTCCCTGGTGCCCAGCAGGCAGGTCTGCAGCTCTACAGGTTGTGATCACCACAATAAGCAGTTTCCTTTGCATTTCTCACTGGAGATCCTGTGCCCACTAAGGAGAATTACAGTCTGAAGCATTATTGTCCCTATTTAAAGGACAATCTGTGAGAGAAGATTTCTTGACTGTAGAATAGAATGAGGCCCCCTATCCCTGTCTCTTTTCTTTTCCAGAACATTTGCCCCATTGTTTCAGAATAAAAAGAGTTTCCCCCAGTAATCCAGGGTTTCAGCATGCTGATTAGCAGTCAGATCACTGCTTGCATGCTGCAATACACATGAAAGAGCTGCATTTCTTCTGCTCAAGCTGGAGGTGGATTCTTTAGTGGAAATAAAAGCTTGGGAGAGCAAGGCTTTCCTGACTGAGAATTCAGGGTGGAGAGAAAGACCTCATGAAAATGCCCTTTCTTAAAGTGTGCATTTCCAGTATGAGCTGTTGCTGGGCAAGGGCAGGATTTTCACTCTGAAACAGGCTTTATTTATCAGTAAATAAAATTTGCTATTAGTGTTCCTTGTGGCTGCTGTACTGAATACCCTGCAAGCTGCGTGCTTCATGATTTGGGTAAATTGCATGCTAGGTAACATGCTGCTACCTTTTATAATGTAGTAACAGAAGAATGATTTGCCTCTTTGTTCCAGTTTCCCTATATAACTCCAGCCCCACACGAGCCAGTGAAGACACTGAGGAGTTTGGTGAACATCCGCAAGGACTCCCTCCGACTCGTGAGGTACTGCCATTACCTGAACCTTTCCTTTTACTCAGCCCAGGGATCTGTCAGCCCCAGCCAAACTGTATTGGTAAGCTTTTGGAGAGTGGCTGATATCCAGATCCTTGTTGCTAGATATGTCCAGAGGTTTCTGTATTCCCTTTTGAGGTTCCAAGTGGTTTATATGCTCCTTATCCAAACAATCTGTTTCCAAACAGGACCAGTGATGTGTCTGTTTCTGCAGGACAGACTGGAGTGGTAAACAAAACCATGAAATCATTAGCACGAGCGGAAGATATTAGTCAGGTCAATAAACTTTACAGACAGATTCCTTCCTGCATTCCTGTGCAAGGAGAAGCAGAAGGGAGCTGATTCTGGTGCGAGTCACGGGTGAGGAAGACTGATGGGTCTTGAGTGAAACTTCCTCAGGTTTCTCCTGCTGCCAAGATGAAGTTTGGTCCTAGTGTTATGCATTTGTTTAGATGGCTTGTGTCCCATGCATGGGGGAAGGACAGTCATGGGGATGGGAGCTCTCACTGCTCCACGCTGAGATCTGAACCAGCAGAGCTGGATTAAAGCACTGGCTCACACTCAGACCTGCAGCTGTCCCCTTTCCAACAGATGGCTGAGGTACAGGGCCCAGCATTCAGTGCTTTGTTTGGGTCTGAGCACTGGGCAGATGTCCAGGCAGAGCCTTTCCAACCATCCTGGCTGGAGCTGCTCTGGATTGTGTGTCTGGGGCTGGAGCACTGGCAGGGCTCCAGCTGCAGCTCCCAGCCAAGGTGGCTCTGGGAGTGTGGTGTAACATGAGCACTTGGAGTCATAACCAAAAACCCTCAGTTTGTTTTTGTGTGAAAACAGATGTGGGTTTTTTTGCTTTGTTTTGTTTTAAATGAGCAAAACCTGTGGTTTCAAAGCAGATTGAGCATCCAAATAAGTGACCATTGGTGAACTGCTCTGAAAGCTCTTTGGTTTTTCAGCATAAGGGTACAGTACTTCTCTAGGAAAAAAGAGAAGGAACGTAAGCCAAATGGGAAGTGGCTTTTTCCCTGGGAGAGGCCTGGCTGTGAATGGAGCAGTTGGTGTGGTTTAGTACATATAGTTCTGTCATTCTGCTTTCTGTGGTCTCACGTCTCATTTCCCAGTATTGCAGCTCTGGACTCTTTGGAATGTGGTGTCCATGCACCTTGACAGTATCTAGGTTTTCATCCATCTAATTCCTGGTACTAGCAGTTCTTTTTCTGTCTCATGAGCTCTCACAGGCTCTTGTGCTGCTGCTGTGTCAGTGCTGATGACAACACTGCCAACATGACTCTATTGAATTTTGCACTGATGTGGACCCAAAATGAGGTTTTAATTGGCAGTCCCCAAGGGTACATTCTGTCTTGTGCTCTTCTACTCTTCTGGCCCAGAGGCTTTGTCTTCCTCCCTCTGTGCACGTAAAGGACACTTTGTGCCCTCTCCAGCCTGGCTTATTCACAGCCAGTGGTTGAGGTTTGCACATTCTTTCCAGAGCTGGTCAATTTACCACATCCTCCACCATATATGGAGCCAAATGTCCAGGTGTGAAGATCTAAGTGTATGTTCTGATGGTAACATCCCCCATAAGCTTTCTGTTTTTCATAGAATCCCAGACTGGTTTGGGTTGGAAAGGACCTTAAAGACCATCTTGTTCCACTTGCCCCATGGCAGGGACACCTTCCACTGTCCCAGGCTGCTCCATGCCCTGTCCAGCCTGGCCTTGGGCACTGCCAGGGACCCAGGGGCAGCCCCAGCTGCTCTGGGCACCCTGTGCCTCACCCCCGTCACAGGGAAGAATTTAGTTCCAATATCCTAACTTTGGCCTCTGGCAGTGAGAGCCCTCTTTGCCCCTTGTCCTGTTACTCCAAGCCCCTGTTGAAAGTCCCTCTCCAGCTTTCCTGGAGCCCCTTTAGGCACTAGAAGGGCTCTGAGTTCTCCCTGGAACCTTCTTTTCTCCAGGCTGAACACCAACTCTCTCAGCTTGTCCTCACAGGAGAGGTGCCATGGAGGAATAGAGGGAAATGTCCACTCTGGCCTTCCAGCTCTGACCAGACAAAATTCTGAGCTTTGCCAGATCTGAGTTTTTACATGATAAACAATAAATCTGTGGATATTGGTGTTGAAGTTCTGAGTCTTCAGTGTCACTTGTGAGTGTTTGGTCTCTGGCAAGAGGAGAATGTGAACCTCAGAGCAGGAATTTTGCTGTTAACCACTAACAGAGAAGGACTTCCTTCTATTTTTCTTGTGTCCCACATTTGGCCTTGGATTGGAAGCTCTGTTTCAGACCTCCAGTACCTGTTGTGCTGGTACTGGCCATTCCTTCTTCTCCTGAAAGCACTTCCAGCTGCAGGAGGAAGACCAGCTCAGGAGTCTGTTGTTGCACCCTGGGACAGCTTCTCTGCTTCAGCTTCTGGGCTTTGGATAACATCATGGAACAAAAGCATTGAAGGAACCAGCAGCTGTGGTGGTTTGGGAATGTGTCTGAAGCATCAGGAGAATAATGGAGAATAGTCATGGAGTGTTTTGGATAAGGGCATGAGAGAGGTGGATGGTGGGGGCTGAGGGGAGACAGGTGAATTGCAGGGAGTGAGAGAAAGGAAATCTCTTCCCTCTGCAGCACAGGGGGCTGACCTTTTTCCTTGGATCTGTTCATCCTGTGGTGGAGGTGATGAGGGGCTGGGGCTGCCTGCTCTGCAGCCCTGGACAGTGTTAAACTGGACAGATCTTTGCAGAAACCCCAAACAGGAGAACCCCTGTGTTTGGTGATGCTCTCCCTATGAAAGTCAGTGCTGACAGAGGTGTCACTAATTCTCATTTATTGCCTGCTCAAACACTGGATAAATGCAGATCTCACAGCACTCAGTCAAGGGATACTTAACATTTATCCTGCATATCTACTGTGTTGGTCAGACTTTTGAATCTCCTCAAAGGATGAAATTTGGTTCAGCTCAACCTAGTTCTATAAAACTGTCATGGCTGCTGTTAATTATATTTTTATCTTTTAATTCTTTAACAGACTATAAAAATCTCCTGCCTTTCCATTGTTTTATCCAGGAGTGATGTCAGACCAGGTGGCCTCAGCTCCCTTGGTCATCCTGCTTTGCCTTTTGCATCAAAACGTTGGATCAGCTATTTGTTCTCAAAGGTGGTCAGTCTCTTTCCTCTGTACCTGTGATTGTGAAGGCTCTGTGATGCACCTCTGTGCATGACCCAAAGGCACACCCAGCAAAGTCACTGGTTCCCAAATCTCTGCATGCATCTTTGACCACCCCACATGGACACTGTCTGTAGGGCTTGGCTAAATGGGCACTGTAAAATTCAAGTGCAGGTAGAGACAGACGAGCTCTTGAAGCACCTGAACCACTCCTGAACCACCTCCTTGTCTGCCACGTCCCCTTCAAGCAAAATGTGTGATTTTTCTCTTGTTACTTCCCTGATGCTACATCCCACCATTCCTGCACCCTAAGGTGGCACATGAGATGTCTCTGCCTCTCAAAGTGTGCACCATAGTAGGCTTTGCTTGTTCCTCAGGCCAGTTACCATCTGTGCAGTCTTTTCTCACCTGAACTCTTTCTCTGTGGCAGATCATAGAATCCCAGACTGGGGAAGGGACCTCAAAGCTCATCACCTTCCACCCCTGCCATGGGCAGGGGCACCTTCCACTGTCCCAGGCTGCTCCAAGCCCTGCCCATCCTGGCCTTGGGCACTGCCAGGGATCCAGGGGCAGCCACAGCTGCTCTGGGCACCCTATGCCAGGGACTCAGCCCCCTCACAGGGAAGAATTTCTTCCTCATTTCTAATCTAACCCTGCTTTCTGTCAGTGTGGAGCCATTCCCCTTTGTCTTATCACTCCAGGCCCTTGCAAGCAGTCTCTCTGCATCTTTCTGTACTGTTCAGGTACTGATGGTTGTGAATGATTTTCTGTGCCTCCAGCAGCAGGGATGTTGCAGCAGGAGGGCACAGCCTTGCTGTGACTGTCACCTTTTAGGCACTGGTACCTTGCCCTCTGCTCCAGTGGTGCTGTTCCAGGCAGACAAGGCTCAGCCTCTCCTCCCTGCATCCTTCAGAAACCTTCCCTCCAGGCACTGCAGTGGCCCCTCGGTGGTTTCCCAGGGCAACAGATCTAGTCTAGCTTTAACCCCTTATCTCCTTGGAAGGATGGAAGCACATTCTGAATGCTGGCAGTGAGGTTGGGAGCAGGAGGTGATCTGGGGTGCTTTTTGTGCCTTCCCTGAGAAGACAAAGCAGGCAGTGGTTGTGCCAAGGACATGTTTGTGTGTGAGCTGCCCCATGCCCAGGTGTCCCTGTTGTTACTTGGTATTGTCACAGGTATCTCAGTCTGTGCTGTAGCTCTCACATGTGCTGGGCATCTCTATTTAATACCTACCTGTGCATGAGGTGAGTCTGAAGGAGTCTCTGCCTGCAAGAGGTGCTGCTTCTCCCACCCTGCTGCTTCTGGAAGAAGTGACAAGTCTGTCATAGCTGGATCCTTCATTTCCAGCCTTGGATCCACAGAGTGCAGCACAGCAGGAGGTGACTTGTGCTGCTGCTCTCTTGGACACACACAACACTTGTGAGTGGATTGTTGCCATCTGCGTTCTTGGGTCAGTCCAGCACAAAAATGTTCATGGTTCCTGTGTTCTTTAGGCAGATCTGCCCTTCTGCCCAGTGTTTCCTCTTTACAGCCTTCAAGTGCCATGATTTTCTCTTTGAATGCAACTAGCTTATGTGAAAATACCATCTTGCTCTGTACTATATATTGTGTCCAGGTTTCTGCAGATGTTAACACTCCAGATCTTGGCATTTGGTTTTTATTATACTGGCATGTTGGGTGTTTTTAGCTTGATTTGCTGCTCTGACCTAGGTGAACCTCTGGCAACAGCCTCTGCAAGCCCTTCAGACAGGAATGAGGGTGTGTGCTGTAGTGGCTCACTGGGGTTACATTAGTACAAGTACGTGTGTTGGGTATTTGATTATAGTGCTCTTAAATTTTATTTTGCACCTTCTGTATTAAATTACTGAAACAGAACGTTTCATTCTTGTTCAGTGTGGTGTTAAATAAAATTCAAGCTGCAACCCTCTTAATTAGGCAGCAGTTGTTATATGTCAGTGAACTCGGTAAATAAGGATTCCCTTGACAATTTTAGATTGTATTATAGAGGTATGTCTGACCCATTTCTGGGTATTTTTGACAGTACAGTATATTCATCAGGGCTGTTTAGTGATGGGAGAGGCTGATACTGTGAAGACAGAGAGGATGCCAAGCTTTTCCTGAATAGTTCAGCTGCTTGGCTGTGACCCAGACATCTTTGCAATTAAGGTATTATGATAAACAAGTGAGGCTGGAGCTGGGTGACAGGTCACTGCTGTTACACCTCTCAAAGGCAGCCTTGCTGCCCTCACCATTCCCACACAAGTGCCTGAGCTCACAGTGGAACCTGTGCTCATGAGATTTGGTTTTATGGAGAATCTGCTGCTGCCCTGCCAGTGAATCACATCTGTTTGTCTGTCACTTTGCTCTTTGAGGCAGGGAGAGCTTGGTCAGTTCAGGAGAAGAGGACACTGAGGGCAGAGCTCAGGGGGGGCTGCACCTCCTGAGGGGCAGCTCCAATCTCTGCTCCCTGTGACAGGGACAGGGAATGGCTGGAGCTGTGCCAGGGCAGGGTCAGGCTGGATTTTGGGAAAGGTTCTTCCCCCAGAGGGTGCTGGGCACTGCCCAGGGAATGGGCACAGCAAGAGGCTGCCAGAGCTCCAAGAGTGCTTGCACAATGCCAGGCACAGGGTGGGGTTGTTGGGGGGTCTGTGCAGGGCCAGGGCTGGGACTGGGTGATCCCTGGGGGTCCCTCCCCACTCAGGATATTCCATCATTCTGTAATTTTCTTGAGGTGTATTGTGTTGGCTGCTTGTTCCAAGATCTGCTGGCTTCTCTGGCCACTCCTGGCACTCTTTGAGTCCCCCTGGCCCATGGCCATAGCTCACTGCCCCAGAGATGCTTCAGACCTCTTCTTCATTGGATTTGTGCTTCTTCCTGCAGTGGGGAAAAGGATTAACCCTGGCAGTGGTGATCACACAGTGGGATCCAGCTGAGCAGGAGCCCATAGCCAAATTAGGGCTTACTTTTACATTAATTGAAATAACTTCTAAGCTCATTCTATTGGTTATCATGTGTCTGTTTGCAGTTGGATGTGTTAATTTTTGTTCATACAATAAATGTGTGCAAACTCCGGTCCCTCACAGCACCAGAGGTTTAGTTGATCACTTGTACATTTAAAGTTGTTTGAAGTTCCTATATCTGGATGTTTTCTGAGGTAAATATCATCTTCTGTGTGATACTGGAGGTAGCTTTTGTTGAGCTTCAGGAGTTCTTTGTGTTACAGAAACTTTGGGGTTTTTGCCTGTTTCACACCATTTCATTGCAGAGTTAAAATAATTACACTTTAGATTTCTCAAATCCATGCAAGATTTCTTTAGCCCAAATACTGAGCCTAATGTGAAGATTTAAAAGGAAGGAGAATGTTTCTTCTCCTCATCATTTGACATCCAGGATCTCCCTTTCTTGTCCCATTCTGTGTCCTGGCACTGGAATGCTGGGTGAGATCCCTCAACACCATCGTTAGTTCACTTCAATAACTTCAGTTACATCGTGGAAGAACCTTCCTCAGGGGAAAGAATGGAAATCTGGGAAGCACAAGGTGGATGCCCAGGCTGCTTTGCCTGCCTGGAGCACCAAGGCTAGAGTACTCTTGTCTCTATTTGCAGAGTGATCATCTTGATATCTCATAAAGATGTTCTAATCCTCTGGCATTGCCTTTCAGGTATAAAGATGATGTTGACAGCCCTGCTGAGGAGAATGGGAAGCAGAAGGTCCTGTACAGCCTGGAGTTCACCTTTGATGCAGATGCCCGTGTTGCCATCACAATCTACTGCCAGGCTACAGAGGAGTTTGTTGGTGGCATGGCCGTGTAAGTCCTGGGCTGGTGGGCACCTGGAGGGGCACAGGAGCTGTGCAGGGATGATGAGCTCTCAAACATCTCATTAATCACCCCTGAGGCAGGGCTGCCACACGTGGTAGAGTGGGAAATTAGTTGTTGGTTTTTTTTCTGATGACTTTGAATATTACTTTCAATTCCCTCACATAGCAAATATCTTCTCTTGTTCCCTTTTTGGTTGGGTTTAAGGGTGTAGGGAAACCATTCTGTGTGCAACAAAGGAGAGGAACTCACAGCTGTATGTTTTGTCAATGAAGTGTTCTGTGAAATTAAACAACCAACCACCCTTCCCTTCAAATAGTGCCTATTTTCTTTTTCCCAGATCACCAATTCACTGCCTTTCTGTGTTCCCTGTGACAGGAGCATCTGGGCCACCAAAGTAAAGTTCAGTCTGACATTAACAGAGTGAGTCTCTGGAATTGAGGCCCACCCAAAGCCCAGTTTGGGATAAATGCCCAGCTCAACACTGGCTGTTGGAGATGGGAGAGGATTTATTTCCTGAAGCCCTGTCTGTGTGTGTTTCCTGCCATGTACACAGTAGTCTTTGGTTAGTTGTGGAAAGAATTACCAAAATGTCATCTGTGGGAACCTTCTCATATCCTGATAGTACATCCCTCCAGAATTTAAAGCCTTTTTATCTAAATCAGCACATTTAAACCATTCCAGTCAACCCTGTATCCCACAAGACTATGAACTTCCCTCTCTATGTTCAGAGCAGAGGTGGCTGGAAATGTGCTCTGCCTGGTGTGAGCTGGGTACACGTGAGCTGCTGCTGTGGTATGGTGCACTTCCAATGGCCATGGGACAAAGAATTCCTTTGGCTCCAGGGATAAAGGAAGATTCAGGCTGCAGAAGCTCTTGGCTTCCTCTAGTAGAGGCTTTTGGCTGACCAGAGGCTCCTGGACATAGTGCTGATGGCTTCTGCAGTGATGCTCTGGAGCTGGGGCTAAACTTTGCAGAGGCTTCAGCAGGGAGAAATATCTATGGCAAACCAAAACAGGGCTTGTTTGTTTTATGCAAAGTATAAACATCCCACTAATGATCAATGAATAGTGTGTTTTTAGAAACAAGAGTAGCTCAATTCCCCAATCCAGATATGCATTATTTCAAACTGGAGGAGATCCTGATCCAGAATTTTTGATTAGGCCCCTTTCCCTTCTTCTGTTGAAGCCTGCGGCTGCCTTTATTGTGGGAAGGTAATTTATGAGCTCCTTTTTAAAGTGCTTGAAAATTATCTCTCAACAAACTCTGAATACACTTTCTGTTTAGATCCAGCTTTTCCAGAGCAGAGCTGAATGCAGCTTTAGAAATCCTGATAAAGTTTCCATGTTCTGTCTCTTAGGTCCTTAGGTTTCCTGTGAATTTAGTGCTAGTGAAGGTGTTGGAATGGCAGCCTTGGAGATTGAAGTCCTCTTTCCCTAACACAGGTACAACGTGGAGAGGTGGCCAGTGTCCCTGGTGCTGCCCTGCAGTGTTCCTTGGTTTTTGACCTAAGGAGGAAACCATCCATGGGCTGATGGGGAGAACTGAGGGCCTCTATGGCCAGGGTGGATGTATTTACATTGCTAGACTTAAGCCATGGCTTAAACCAGTAAGGCTTGGTTTAAATTATTGATTTTGGTCTTGTTTTCCCCTGTGGTTTACCCTGAAAGAGAATTTCATTGTCACTGGTCAGAAGCAATGAAACATTTGCATCTGCAGCACAGCGAGCTTCATCTCAAACCTTTTGCTATATTTTTTATGCCACAGTCTGTAGAGAATATCCACATGGTTTAAAATCTATTTTTCAGACTCCCACTTCTGCATTTTATGCCAAAATGGCAATAACCGTAAGTTATTCTAAAAAGAAACATTTTAATTTTTTTTTATTTTTTAGCCCATGTCTTGAACCAGGCTGTGTTGGGCTGGGATTGTACCTGAGTGACCCAAGAGCAGCAGTGTTTGTTCTTGTTGGTTAAACTGCTCATGTTGGACTCTTAAGAGACTCTCTTGTCAAGTTGTGCCTTGAAGAATAATTGCTTAATAGAATTGTTTTAGTTACCAAATATAACCAACTGTTTCTGGACAGAGAGTGTTTTCAGTCCTCTCTAACTTACAGTAGCTCTCCTCTTGGCTGGTTGGTTGGAGGAAGAAAACACAGGTTTTGGTTCACTTAAGAACACTTTTTTTCTGAAATTTAGTGCCATTTACTGAGCCAGTGACTGTCACCAGTGCTGTTGTCTGTCCTTTAAAACTTGTGCAGCAAATATGAACTACCCAATGGCTTTTAAATTAAATTTGAACAATTCCTAGGTAGAGTTGCTGAACAGGAACAGAGCTGTTGACTTCAAAGAATTTTTTTTTAATGTGAATTATTTGAATCCACCCTGTCCATGGTTCAGTGAGAGAGGGATCTCTGTTAGATGGCAGAGCTGAAGCCTGTGCTCCTGAACCCTCTGCATGAAACCAGGATCAGCAGTGATTTCCCCACTAATGAAAAATCAGCCAATGGTTCTGTGCTGTCCTGCTGGGGTGGCAGCAGTCCCTGGTGCACTAAACCTTCTAAAAGGTCACAGCACCCACATTCAGCTCTTTCTTCCACTTCTGGCCTTTCCTTTAATAAGTCATACTTTCACTTCTCCATAATACAGGAATGATGAGCTGCCTGTGTCTGCTCTGGGTGCTTGAACAATAAATGTTATGTAAATGTGGGTGCAGGGCTGCACCAGAAGCCAGGGAACTTTTTGGAAGGCATGATCCTGATTTCGTGCAGATGTGTAGGGGGGAAGTCAGATACAAATATAGACTTTATAAGCTGCTTTAATTCAACCCAGGCTATTTTTTCCATGTGGAAGTGGTTCCTGAAGCACGTCTTGGGGCCATTGCAGCTGCCCAAGTAGGCATCTCTGCTTCTCTGGATTTGCTGGCTGCTAGTAAAAACCTTTTGAAGCTCTGATTTCAGCTTTGCAAAGCAATTCTGTAAGGGCAGTGCTGTAATTACTTTGATTTATTCTTTTCAAATACTAGTGGAAAAAAAAATCTGGGCTGCATTCTTAGAGCTCTGAGTGGAGTGAGTGCATTTCAGTGCACTAACAGGAATGCAGCTTTCCCCTGCCTGGGATGGTGGATTTTCCTTTTCCTCAATCTCTTTTGGTGCTAACAGCTGCATTCATGGAACAAGCATGTGCAAAAGCTGTCCTGTGTATAAATTCAAAACTTCTTCTATTGCACTTGATTGGGATGAAGATGCTCTGTAAAACAAAACACCTTTTTTTTTTCCACTCTCCTAAATCAATGCTGAATCTTAAAATGGGAGAAACTTTCTGGCCCCCTGTGAAAAGCAGGAATTTTCTCCCAGCTCTCAGCCTGCAGCATGGCTCCTTAGAAGTGCTAAACAAGTTATTCCTGCTTCCCTGCTGGAACAGCCACTGATCCTGATAGTATCAGCCCTCCTGCAAAACTCCTGCCAGCAACGTGGTTGTGGTCATGCAGTTTGGGGTGAGAGGAGGGAGGGGAGGGAACAGAAGGGAGGGGAAGGGAAGGTGGCTCTCCCTGAGCAGTGGCTTTGCTTGTTGTGGAGCCTCTGCTCACCTGAGAGCCACAGCGCTGTGTCTTGGGCCTGGCTTTAGGATTAGCTAGTTTCCATGACCAAGGGGAAGCCTTTCTGCAAGCCAAGGAGCTTCCTCCTGGAGTTACTTGGGCTCCATTTAAAAGCTGGTGGCTTTGTCAGTCCTGTCCTAACCTGTCTCAAAGGGTGTTCAGCAGACTTCCCCAGGTAATTGTGCTGGGAGATACACTCAGCTGCAGTGTTTCCTAGCCAAGGTCCTGGGAACAGCTGCCTGCCTCTTGTCTGAACTGTTGAACTCACAGGGAGCTGTGTCATCACTTTTGTGGGACCACAGATGACCAGCAGGGTGATTGTGTTGGTGATTATAAAGGTGTGTTCACCTCTGCAGCCCCATGCCCAGGGGAGGGTACCTTGCACTTCCTGGTGCAAGTGCAGATATGTGTAGAAACCTTTTGGATGAAACTGAAACTAGTTTAAATCTGGAGAGGACTGCTCCTCTCACCTTTGAAATGCCTTTTGCTCGGTTACTTTGTGGTGAGATCAGTTCTCAGAGGATGAGCTAATGCATCACCCCAAGGGTAACAGATGTACCTATGTCCAAGTCTCTTTAGTGGCAAGGAATTAGCACTGACCTGCCTCTGAATAGCTCAAGACTCCCCCCCACCCAGTATCTTCAGTTTTATTTCTTTTTCTGTCTGTGTCCATTTTCTTTCGTTTTGGAAATCAGGAGAAACATGGAGGTGTGTAAGCTGTGCCTCAACTACTAGTGGTTGCCCATAATGGAATTTCCCTCCTGATAGAAGAGAGGGTACTCTGCATTGCATTTCCCTTGTGGGGCTGACAGCAGCTCATAGAGAATAGCTAAAAGACTCCCAGTTGGAGCCTGCCTTCTCCTGCAGTAACTGGTTCATGTGTTTGTACCTTGGTTTGGGAGACAAGTGTGTTTTTGGAGCAGGCTGCAGGGATATTTGTATTCTCTTTTTATGAGTGCATCCCTGCCTTGCCTGGCAGAATCCTGGATGTGCACACCATTAGCCTGCTCCTGGGAGGGCCCCTGGGACTGTTCCAACTGTAGGTGTCCTGCTGACTAGCAGGAAGGATTGTGCAGTTCAAACATGACAGCAGCAGTTCTTTCCTCAGGGGAAGAAGTCAAACCAGGCCTGGAGCTGGAAGCACTTAAAAGAGCCAGTTCTGAAGGCATGAGCAATCCAGGCAGATCAGGAGCTCATGATAAATGTGACGTGAGAGCTTGGAGTCTTGCAGCCCATTCTTATGAAAAAGATCTTCCTTTTTGGACAGAAAACATTCTCTCCCATATCCCAGTGCTGTTGCCAAGTTCTATTTTCTCAATATAAAGAGAAAACAGAATGAAAACAGGTCAGTCTAGCTCTGCAATCCTTGCCCTTTCCAGGACTGTGTTGTTTGTGTTGCTGATGTGCAAATGGATTTATTAAAAAAATAAACCTCATTTCCTTGTTTGTTTTGCAATGCCCACTACACTCATCCCAAACCTCCTCCCACGCTTTCCTGAGCTGATGGGGGACATGACACTGCAATGATTCCCTGCTCTGCCTCGTGTGGAAGTTGGGAGAGCTGCATCCCAAAATGAAATCCACCGGGTGGCTCAGCTCACGGCTGTTTTCATTCAGGCTTGCGTAGGAGACAGAGGCACTCAGCTATTCCTTTGGTTGTTTAATAGCCTCTGTCTGCTCAGGGCCTTTGAAAGGTGCTCTTGCTGCTTTTGGCTGTGGTGATTAATATGAATTCCTTGTGCAGAGGTTTATTCTGTGTGAAGAAATCAGGCGGGTGCTGGGTTTTGCTAGGAACAAGCCTTTATGGCTTTGGTCCAGGCACACACCAGTCCCCAGGGGAACACTGGAGTGTGCAGAGTTCACAGGCTGGAGAGCCAGATTCTGTGGATTGCAGCAAGCAGACAAACCCTCTGTCTGTCTCAAGAGCTGTGGCCTTTGTGCCTTTCTGTGTAGCTGTTGTGTGAGATTTGAAGCCTGGCTGGAGCCAGAGCTCTGCAGGGGCTGAGGGGGAACGTGGACACTGGGGTTTCAGCTGCCTGGGGAGGGGTTGTCTTTGCCTGGCTTGGAGTGGAAACTCTGTCCTAAAGGAAGCAGGAAGGAAGGAGAAGACTCTCAGAGATTGCAAGTGCAATGCCTTAGCACTGGTTAACCTCCAGACTCCTTGTGGGAGCCTCTGTGGGGTGGATGTTGTCTAATTCTGACTGAGACCCAGGACTATGGCCTTCCTGTGGTTTGGTAGTGTTTCTATTGTCAGTAAAAGTCACTTAGAGTTGAAACATTTGTCCAGCTTCCCTCTTACCCAAAATCTGACCTGTGGGATACTGCCTCAGCATGAAAGGGGAGTGAGCAGGTGGGAGAGAGAGGAGCAGAGGATGTTTGTTCCACATCACCTCCTGTCCCCTTTGAACACTGACTGACACTTTCCTCATCACCTTTACACATGGAGCCTGCCAGGCAGTCACAGCCTGTGGCAGAATTGTTTCCTGAGTACCCTCTGAAGCTCTCCTGGTCCTTGGTTCACTACAGCTTGCCATGAAACACGTTTAGCTGCTGCTGAAGAAAGAGAACTCTTGTTTTTCTACAAGCTCTTTGAAGCACAGACTCTCTCAGCCATTTCTAGTCAAAAGTCTTACCTAGGGGCAACATTGCTCCCTGCAGGCATCCTGCTTTTCCTGAGGAATGGGGTCTGGACAGTGTTCTGTGTAAGGCAGCCTGGCAAGGATCCTCATGTGGCACTTCCCAGTCAGGGTCCCAGTGTGCCTGTGGGAACAGGAGCTGCCCTTTGACTGCCCGAGACAGCCCCAGTGCCAGGCACAGCAGTGGAGAAATCTGCAGGAGCTGGGCCTGGTGCCCTGCTGAGAACTTCTCCAGGCACAGACCAGGGATGAGAGAGAGGGGGAAACACCTCAGTGAGCATGTAGCAACAGAAGTTTAATTCTGCTTAGCCAAACTCTAGCACGGCACTTCTGTCTAGGGAGCTGCTTAGGCTCTGCAGGTGCCACAGACTGAGGCTCTCTGTGCAGCAGTGTGTGCTTCTCAGCTGGCAGAGCAAAAGTGAGACTGGGGAATAACTTTAATTTGTACCAGTCCTCTCAGAAATCACTGAGGTATGGTCACAGGGCCTCTCATCTGCTGGTTCTCTGATACACAGCTGGCTTTGGAGGGTTTGACATGAGGGGAGAAGGAGTTAGTGCAGAGTGTAGTTTGCTTTTTGTGAGTGAAGGTGTGTCACAGAGCTCACAGGAGGAGATGGGCTGCATGAAGCCTGAGGTCAGAGCTGGGGGCTGCTGCTGCAGCCAGCAGTGGGGTCCCTCAGGCTGCTTGTGATTCTCATGCTGCCAGGTGTACCTGAGCAAACAAACAGGTTTAAAATAATGTGACTGAGGATTTCTGTGTGATCCTGACCTTATAGGACAGACCCCCCTCACTTCTCCACTGTCCTGAGCTGCCAGTTTTGTCCTCTGGATGGGGTCCTCTGGATGGAGGCCTGGCCCAGTGCAGTCTGAGCAACAGCAGCCCAAACATTCAGCTTTCATACTTCGTGCAGAGAGGCAGCATGTTGCTTCCCTGTTGTCCTTTATTCTTTGATACATCCTCTCTTTTTCTGTAACACATCTGCACAGCTCTACAGAGCTTCCCTGCTGTTGTTTGCTGTGAGCCCCCAGCAGCATGGGCAGGGAATAGACGACTGTGAATACAGCAGATGCCAGCCAAAGGGGCAGGGGATGGGTAGAGGCCCCTTAGACCCTGATACTCAGGATATCTGCTTTGAAACAGCTTGTCAAGTTTCCCTGCTGTGTAGCACAGGGATGTTATCTCATGCTGAGAACCTTTGCATCCCACTGGAAGGAGAATCCATTTCTGTGAGTCAGTCAGGGGCCATCAGACTCACAGGGAACTCAGCAGCCCACTGCCTGCTGGCTGAGGTGTTCAGAGTTATCTGGGTGTTCACATCCAGGTCTGACATGTTTTGGCAATGGGGGCAGGCAGTCACACAGCCTGAGGCATAAAGCTCCCTTGGGGAAGCCTCCTTAATAATTTTGTCCTACTCTTCAGCTCAGAAATCTATGTGCCTGGTTTATTTCTTTTCCCAGGGACGGTGAGAGCAGTGAGTCAATGTGAGTATTACTCTGCCCTGTCCTCCTTGGAAGAGTGTTGTTTTTCTGTTGCAGCCTGGTTTGGGTTTCTGGTGCTGTAAATGCAGGTCCTCCAGCATTCCTGGCACTCAGCAGCATCATGTTTACACCCCTCTCCCACCTCCACTCTCTCCTCTGCACTTTATTTCCAGTAAGTTCCTGACTTGCTGTCACCTTAGATAAGTCACTTTTCCATCTCCTGCTTTCCCAGCTGTGGAGGGAGAATTGTGCCTCTCTGCAGAGCTGGGAAGCTTTGAGAGTACCACAAAAGGAGCTAGATACAGGCTTGCTCTATTCATTGTGCTTGACAACTCAGTAAATAAAACTTCACTCAACTGCTCGCTCTGTAATTCACATATAAAAGACCTGTCACTCTGATCTCCCCCACACCATGCTTGAAATGCAAAGGATGGAGTGAGACCTTCTAGTAAAGCAGCACAATTTCAGCACAGTACAGAATGGGCTCTGAGGGTATTGTCATAAATAACTTAATGCACCTGCCTTGCCAGGAAGAGCAGAATGCACATGGTGAACCTGCCCTTTGTCACAACCTTCCAGCATTTAACATGGATCTTGTGACACTTGACCTTCTGGATCCTCAGAGGGTGCAGGAACTGTTGTAGCTTTCCAGAGAAAGGCAGAGGGGTTTTTTGTGGGGCTGGAGCCTGTCTTGTCACTGTGCTGAGGGAGGATGTTGCTGCAGTGTCTCTTGGGCAGGGGATCTCTCACCTTCTGTCCAGTTTGTCAGGGTTCTCTGGGCACACAGTTGGTAATTTGACAAGAAAGGCTTTGGTGGTAAAGGCAGCTTCAGCTGTTCCCACCCTGCTTTGGGGTTCACTGCCTCATCTCCAGTGCCAGAACTGGGAGAGGTTGTGCACATCCAGCTCAAGACGTCACCCTCCAGAAAGGGGGAGTGGGCAGGGAAATGTCTCCTGGGGAGGACAGCACCAGGTGGGCTCAGGGTGCAGAAGATGGTGGATGGCAGCTGTGGTCCCATTCCAGATGTTTTTCCCAGCCTGGCAGTGCTGGTGTTCCAGTGACAAGCTTTGAGACAGTGGAAGAATTGTGACTCTTTGGATGGGTGGAGGATGGTTGGTGTCTCTCAGGTGGTGTTGGTAGCCCTGCAGCACCCCTGGGGAAGCACAGGAGGGATTGAGGAGTGGGTTGGAAGGCTTAGCAGGATGGTGGAAGCCAAGCAGCATTTCCCACTGTGAAGCTGTCCATGGAGACAGAGAGAGAGAGCTTTCAGCACTGCGCTGGGTTGTCTGTTCCCAGTGTTAAGTCATAGCTTGTTCTTCCTGGGTTTCCTGCAGAAATCAGGACTATGCTGGGCTTAAAGCCAGCTTAAAGCTAGGCCATGGATATAGGGAGCAGGCCTTTGCCAAGCTGCTGCACCCCCCTGTACTCCAGCACCCAGGCGGGTCAGTATGGACACAATCAGACCTTGCCTGTCTGCACTGCTTTCTCTTTCCTGTGCTCACCTTCTTGCTTTGACCTTTCCCTTCCCTCTTTGTGTCCCCTCTGAATGGCTGCCAGCCCCTGCCAGCTCTGCCCTTAGAGCTGCCACTCGTGATTCCTGAGAGGCCGAGGGCGGGAGTGAGCGAGAGCCGGGCAGGGAGCAGTCATTTGTTACAGTGACTTTTCTCTTCCCCCTTCCCTCAGATACAGCACAAAGAATCCCTCTCTGCAGTCCGAGACAGTTCACTACAAGAGAGGGGTAAGCCAGCAATTCTCCCTGCCTTCCTTCAAGATTGATTTCTCGGAGTGGAAGGATGATGAGGTAAGTGTCTCCTCACTGTCTCCTTCTTTCCACACCCTGTTGTCCCCGAAGCACTGGTCTCTGTTTAGTGCTGTCAAGTTATGGCTGGGAGACATTTCTCCCAGCTCCTCCCGTGTGTTTTGTGGGTACTGCCCTGGGAGGAGCAGTATGGGAACTTGGCAGGCAGATCAGGCCAACTGGGAGGGAATCCAGAGAAGTGACTTTCAATATTAGTGATCAGCTGGTGTAGGAGGGAGGCTGCAGAGATTGCCACTGGAGCTTTTCCTGGAAAACCTGCTTTCCTTGGCCTTCCTCTCCCTGCCAGCCAAAGAGCTTGAGTGAACAAATGTCTGTCATGATCTCCGTTTTTATGGGTTTTTGTTGTAAGATTTTGGGGTTTTTTGGGTGGTCCTCTAGAACAGTGGTCTCCAAAGTGAGGTGCATGCAATAAAATTCATTGGGCTGTGGCAAGGACTTCAGAACTACATGTATGTAACCCACAGATGATAAGCACACATATCTTGGGAGTATGTGCTCAAAACACGTTACTGGTGGGATGAATAGTCAGAATAGTGTGGAGACCACTGCTCTGGGAGAGTCCTGCTCTGTTAAAGGGCCACATCCTGCACTATTATCTGTAGCAGTACAGTGCTGTGAAGGGATGTTCTCCTTCTGGGGCAGATTTACACTGGTGCATCAATGCTGAATGAGGGAATGTTTTCCTCTTGTTAATTTAACCCATAACTGCAAACAGACCAGGGCTTGCTTTTAATTAAGGTTTGTGGCTTTTCTGCATACCAAGATTTGTGGAGTCCTGTTAATTTTGGTATTTTTGGTATCTGCAAAATTCCAGCAGTAAGCCTCTTGTTTCTGAGCCTTAAAACTTTCACCCAAAGGCTTCCCCTGCACGTGGCATAGGGAAGGAAAGCCTTGGTCTTTCCCCTGCTCTATGCAGAATTGTGGTAAGAGAGTTCAAAGGCAGAGTAGTTGTTCTGTAGCTACTGCTAATATATTGGTTCCTGTGGACCCCTCTCCCAGGAAGTGCAACTGATAATGGTGCTCATTTCCTGACCCAAGCCTGTGCAAGTGTATTGTGTATGTGAACCTTGGTAGATAACTCTACCTATTAAAAAAAAAAAAAGAAGAAGAGAAAAAGGGGAAAAAAGGAAAAAAAAGTCGTCTTTCATGTATTTGAAAGATTGAATAGCTATTGTCCTGAAGTTACAGTTACAACTATAATCAGTCCCGTGCCTTAACAAATGCCGTGGTGGTTACCAAGAGCCTGCAGAGTCTGGTCTCCTGATGTCTTGGCTTCTCTGCCAATAGATGATTTCACAAGTTCAGCCTACAAAAGCCTGGAAGAGCTGCTTTTCAATCCCTTCTGTTGTCTGAGAGAGCTCAGTTCCCTTTCTTCTTAAAGAATTGAAAAGCTTAATTTTTACTTTTGTTCCTGTCAGCAAGGTTTTAACTCAAGTACTAAAGTCACATCCCTCTGACAGCTTAAAGGAAAAATGAGTTTCCAGCTCTCTTTTCTTGTTATGCTGCATCCTCTGGTTCCCCTTTTTTCATTGGTGTTACTGGGAGCTGGAAAAAATGTTGAACAAGCACTGTGATTCCAAAGAGTTTCCCCTCTCATGTCAGCTCTGTGTTACATATTGGTCCTTGTCCTAAATCTTCCCAACATGCCACCAAAATGCAGCAAATTATCTGAGACAGCTAGCAGTGTCTTAGCTGTGTGGAATTGACATTTCAGATTTCTTTCCAGCTTTGTTATTGGTTTTGTGCAAAACCCCCAGATTTATTTCATATTTTTCCTTAGTGTAATACTCGGATATGACGTAGATCTTGGCTGGGGAAGAAGGGAGACTGATGTTATGTTGAGTTGTTCTGTGAAAAGCTTTATAAAAGTTTGTTTTATCTTCTGCATTTACTGATTTGCTTGGAAATTATAAGGCATGGCTTGTGTCAAGTGAGTTGTGTTCAGGGCCCCTAAAATGAATGTGAAATGGTGCCTTAAAGAGGCCTTTATTCAAGAACACTGGAATTTATATGGTAAAGCAACCTCAGTTCTGTGATGAGGCTTTCCCTGCAAATGTGTTCCTCCCTTCTTCTGAGGAACTGGAGCAAATCAGGCTGCAGATGATGTTGGAGCTGTGGCAAAGGGATGGAAACCCCAAAGCACTGTCTGAACTGCTGCAGCACCTGGAATTGGGTCTCAGTTTTCATGGAGAAACTGAAAACAGATTACCTGGAGCATCAGGGTGAAATGACATCTTTTTTTCAGTCTTGGCAAGAGATGAGACAAAACCATCCAAGTTAGTAATTAACAAAACCAGCAGAAATCCAGTTCCTGAGCCACTTCCTTTCCTGGCTTAGGACAGTGTTTGTAAGGTTGCCTTTTCCTTGTATTTCTAAGATGACAGAGCTTTTGATGTGCTTTAATGAAGTGTAGGGCAAAGGGAAAAAACTGAGACTGTTTCCCTTGCACTCAAATTTTCACTATCATCAATTAGAAACTCAAGGAACTGCATTTTATAACATGCCAAGAGATGAAAATCAGTCTTGTGTTTCCTTGAAGTGTTGTATGAGCTTGAAGTTTTGCAGATTTTCCTCTTATGTCTTCAGGAACTTCATACCAGAGCCAGGGTCTCTTTGTGGTGTTGGGAGCACAATGTGCTGCTGTGCTGAGGCCAATATATCCTGTTGTATGAAGGCAAAATTGTGGCACTGGATATATTTTGAGAAACTTTTCTTAATACAAATCACTCAGAAGACTTTTAGGATCTATGAATTAATGAGAATTAAATAGCATTTGGAATTCCAACCAAGACCCTTTGCCTTGCTTTGCTGATGTTTAGTGCCATGTCAGTGTGTGTGTGTTGGAGTTGACTCCCTTTTAAAGTTGGTGCCTGGAATTTTAAGTCCTCCTGTGTCGATGTAGGATGACCCCATCTGGGGAATAAGGTGCTCTCACTCCATGGTTTCAGAAGGCTGAAGACAAGCTTTATGAAGCTATACTATACTGTATTACACTACCTACTATACTACATCAAACTATACTAAAGAAAAACCCGGGACCCCTTACAGACAGTCATGACACAGCTTTGCCCTAATTGGTCAATCAATCCAAACAACCTTCACCAGTGTCCAATTAAGAAATCTTTCTTTGCTAAACAGTCTTCATAACACATTCTACATGTGCTAAACAACAGATGCAGCAAGTAGAGATAAGAATTGTTTTTCTTCTTCTCTGAGTTTCTCACTGCTTTCCCCAAGAAGAATCCTGGGGAAGTTGTGCTGCTGCTCTCTCTGAAGAGAGCTGTGGCCACACTCCTGCTCTGTCGTGTCCTTTTGACACAGGAGCTGGGGTTCTGTCAGGAGGACCCTTCCCTTCATCTCCAGTGTTGTCTTCAGGCAGGTCTGCTGTGAGTTGTGTAACCTCAGCTCCTTTCTTTCCCTCAGCTGAACTTTGACTTGGACCGAGGCGTGTTCCCGGTGGTCATCCGAGCAGTGGTGGATGAAGGGGATGGTAAGAGTTGGTGTTTGTTCCCATGGCCTTCTCCTGCCTCTCTCTGAGCTTGTGTGACCCCTTTCAGGACTGGCCTCCTTGGGGGACCTTTACAGAATAAAAGTATTTCAGGAGTTCACCAGAACTTCCCTTTATTAAAAAGGCAAAGGTAACCACATAAAACCCATACTTTTAAAAATAGCCTTCATTTTTTTGGAAATAAAATGGCCAGGTATTTAGTGTTGGAATAGTGTTTAGGAGAGCTCCTGGCTCTGCCACCAGTGCCAGGCACACAAATTAGAGCAAATGACATCCTTGCTTGTTGGGTTTTGCTTTTGCAGTTTATAGGTCACGGAGGGTGGAGCTGATCTTTTCTCCCTCTTGGAGGGGTCAGTTGTCTTCTTAAAAACCTAGAAATGGGCAGAGAAAAGGAAATGGCTTTAAAGTACTCAAGTCACTCTTCAGCCAAATGCAGCTTCATTCAGCAGTTTGAAATTATGCTTTTTCTGAGGATGTTGAATGGTTATAATAAAAGAGCATAACCTTTCAGGAGAAATAATTGTTGATTTTTTCAAAAGTAATTAATAACTAATCATAATTTGTAATTATGATTAATTGATTATTATTATTATTACTTAAAGCACACTGCTGTTTTGGAGAGCTCTTTTGGATTCCAGTGAATATTTAAACTATTATTTTTAGATTCTTATTCCCCTTACATGGTATTTCCCTTAGGGGATGTGTGCTTTTGAGCTCATCTGGAGTGTCAGCAATGAGCAGGGCACAAGGAAGTCACACTTTCTTTGAAACTGGGGGCTTTTATGGTCAGCAGGACCAGCATTTCACTTGTGTAACATTTTGTACAAAATGTAAGATAATTAGAAAAGAAAAAACATCCATTGTTGATCACATTGTTTGGGTCAGTGACTTGCTCAGTTTCTTATGTTGTAAATGTGAAAAAGCTCAAAAACTCATTACATTGTTTTACAGTCTTCCAAGCAGACAGAAATAGAACTGAATAAGCCAATTTGAAGTGTGACTAACAAAGCACAGTGCAACATAAAGGAAATTACTTCTAAAGTGCATCTATTTTTAGTGATTTCAGGCACTGTTAGTAAAATCAACATATATGTGTACTTCTTGACCATAAATATAAAACAGCCCCCTCTGTTTATGGAGCTTTTGGCAAGGTGTTTATACTCTCTAATGTTGGGCATGTCTAGAAGGATCAAAAATAGAACAGGAGGCAGTATGGGAAGCATACATTTATGCACATACCATGCCCAGCCTTAGCCAATAATCTACTCCCATCTATTTTAATAACCTAGAAAACCAACTGCTTTTAAATCCCCTCCTGGAAAGAATATCAGCACAAAAATGTGTGAAACTTGAGTGAGATTTGAGGAAATCGTGTATTTTGGTTCTTTTTTTAACTGGTGGGGCTGGAAGGAGCTGGAATGGTGTGTTTGGAGCACCTGGAAAATTACAGCTGTTAAATAAGGTTGAATGGTAAATTAAAATAGCAGTCAGGGAGAGGCTGGTTTGGACTGAACTCTGCCATGGCTTGCAGTGTTAGCCCTGCCCCGTTGCTGGCAGTGGGATTGTTCCCAGGGAGAGGCAGAGAACAGGAAGGAAAGGTGCTGCACAGAGCAGGTCACACCACTCTGAGCTGTCACCTCTTCCTTGGCCACTCAGACTGACCTGAATTTTGTTTACTCTGAGAGATAGAGCAGCCTTGCTCTTGGCTGGCAGTGAGAGGAGCAAGCAGTTGAATTGCCAGCTTTAACCCCCTTTTCTGCATTGTTGTGTTCCTGATTCCACCCAAATTGCTGTGACCAACCTCAGTTACCCAGCAAATCTGCAGGCAAATCCCCTCTCTCTATACAGCTGTTTCCAAACATGGACTCAGTGCCACAGTCCAGGGAATTGTTCCTGTGCTGTCTCTGCTGCTCTGGGAGCTCAGTGGAAGCTGTGGAGCTCCTTTCCCTTTTGGACAGAGCAGGAGTTGCTTCCTTGAGCTGCACCTTCCAGGCAGAGCTCTCCTGCCTGTGCTGAGCACAGCCCTCCTCACTCCAAACATGCCTTCCTTCCCTCTGTGACTCCTTCACAAACTCTGTCTCCCATTTCCATATGAGGAGTCTGAACAGGATTCAGGAAAAGGATCCAACCAGCTGGAGCTGAACAGAACCTCAGAGTCAGAGTGAGAGAGACTGGGATTGTACTGGCCTCCTCTTCTCTCTCTCTGCTGAAGCAGCCAGGAATGCAGTACTGAAACCTCTGACAGCCCCTTCCCATTGCTGTGGGATCAAGAGGGAACCCTCATGTTTGGAAGAGGGAAAATGCTTGGGGAAAGCTGGACAGAGATGTCTCAGTGTCTGAAGTCTTTATGAGAAATAAATGTTTTATAAGTGTATCTGACTAGACTGAAATAAAATGATAAGTAACAGGGCTGGAAATGCTCCCAGTTGCTGTTAAACCAGATAGATCTGTGATAAATTCAGGTAATGAAGCCCAGGAATTTCAGGGGACAGGAGAATCCCACTGAGTGCTTTGTTTTTGTCCCTTTCCAACCTCTGCCAACAAAGTGGGATAGTTTGGTGCACCCAGGGCAATGAAGGCATGGTCGTGTAGGGCCCACCACAGAGCCCAGCAGGGTTTTGTTCTTGCTCTGTTCTGAACCAACCTGATGACAAGATAAGAAAAGTTCTAAATGCAGGAGAGGGTGAAAATAGAGCAGATGGCAGCTCAGAAATTGTAAGTGGACTAAAATTCAACTCAGGATATTTTTATGCTGGTACTGCTTGAGAGGTTTAACCAGTTTTGCCCTTTCTCTTTTTGCAGTGGTGGTTGAGGTCACTGGTCATGCCCATGTTCTTCTGGCTGCATTTGAAAAGGTAAATGAGGGGTTTTTTATCCCTCTATCCCTGTTCTTGTGTATATAAACATTTCCACAGGTCATTAGTTTGTATTTATATAACACTTGGCACAGCAGAGTGCTGGCCTGTGCCTGGGTGCTGCTATAGTACAAGGAATCATTTGCAGCAGCTCCTGTGCAGCCTGTAATTATCATTTGTACCTGAGCTGGTCACTCAGGGAATGGCAGGGGTGTTTCCTGTGTTCCCATGGCTGCTGCCATGCAGTTTTCCAGAGCTTCATGATTTTTGCAGAACTGGCTCTGCTGTGTCCAGACCCTGTTGCACTATTGTTAGGTCTGGTTTACACCCAGGACCAAGGATTGGGATGCATCCTGTGTAAAGGCTGAGTTCCACTGCTTTTGAGTGGTGTGTGTGATGTAGCTGACCCCTGCCTACATGGTAAGGCCAAGCTGTGTGCACAAGCCTTGATAACAAACTCTCTTCCCTTGGTAACTGGACCCTGAAAACAGTTGCAATATCCATAACTGGATCTAACCCTGTTGTGTCTGGTAGTGGTAATACTGCAGACACATTTTCTGGGCAGGTGATATTGCAGTGAGAGGCTGAGGTGAGGCAAGAGGTGCTGGAGCAGAGCTGGAAATGTAGAGGGGAGCAGCATCAGTGCTGTGCTGTTGGAAATTCCCCACTTCCCAGCTGGCAGGTGGCTGACTTCTGTATCTCAGTGTGCCTGGTGCCTGCCAGGTCCTAATTCTGTTCCTCTGAGGTGGATATTGTGGATGGTGACAAGCTGAGTCAGAGGGCATGGCAAGCACAGTCAGTGCAAGGAAGCATATGGCTGGAAG